ATCAGAGCCGCCAGTCCGCAGCCGGCGCACAGAATCCCCACGGCGTATTTGGCCTCTCGCCCCTCTCGGCCGCCCCTCTTTCCTCGCGATAGCGAGTGTGAGCCATCTTCAGGGGCTCCACGTGGTGCCGAATCAGTCCAGCGTCGTTCATTCGCCGAAATATCCGATTGAATCTCGGCAGCACGGAAAATCGGCCGAGAAGTGATAGCCGTCGTACTGCGACGTGATCAGCGGCTTGCACACGTGGACGCGTCGGCTCTCCTTGACGCCGCAGGTATTGAGTTGCTGCGGACTGGTGATGCACACGATCCGCTCGTCCCTCGTGAGTTTGGCCAAGCACGAGCTCAGATTGGTGTACACGCGAATCTCCTTGCCGATGGGCTTCTGGAAGCGTCTCACGTTGTTGGGCAGACCCCAGACCTCGTAGTCCGTCCGGCGGAGATCCTGCAGAGTCTCGAAGTCGGAGTGAAATTTCGTGAACGTACTGAAGGCCTTCAGCGAGGACAGAAAAAAGGTACTGGTCATGCCGGCGAGCAAGATCAAGGTTATCAGGGCGATTCTCTCGGAGAAGTAGCGGGCTCGCTCGAAGGCGCTCTGTCTCAGCGAGTTGGTGAACAGCCGAACGAGCTCGAGGCAAGCAGCCGCGCACGACAGTCGCAGAACGTTTCACGGTAAAAAGGTCCCAAAACCAAAATTTTAGACCCCCTCCCACTTCCTACCCCCCTCCGCCCCTATAAACGTTCATTTTCTATCTATATTTTTTCTGAAGGCCTGAAGCAATTAAAAAATCTAAAAAAATTCACAAAAATACTTATTAATAAACTGAACAACCTTGAATTTTTTCAGATTTTTCAAGTGCTTCAGGCCTTCAGGAAAAATTATTGAAAATTTTGAAAATTCATGTACAGTACTACGATGCAATACCAAGCCCGATTTTTTTTTTCACTCATTTTTGGCATCAAAACGTAACCTCAAATTTTTTTAAATTTTTTCAGACAGAATTCTGACGTCTAGAGCCGAAAAGCCCCATTTTTTTATGTAAATAATTTTTCTAGGACGATACGAAGCCTTTCAAAATCTGGAAAAATTTTTTTCTCGTTTTTTTCATCGAAATACATTACCTTGAATTTTTTCAAATTTTTTAATTGAAGGCGATAGCATCTATGGGCTAAAATTTTGGTTTTAAGACCTTTTTACCATGTACTATAACATACCAAAAGCGCGTCAAGATCGGTGACATACGAGCGCAGGTTTATTTAAAAAATTCTGAGCCTTACCCATATATATGCAAATTGATATAAATTAAATTTTTAAATACAATGTGATTTACATAAATGGTTATACAGTCGAAGCTCGATAATTCGTATCGCGATAATTCGTATCAAACCTTTGGTCCCTTGAAAAAATCGCGATAATTCGTACTTTTACTATGGATTTTGGTCCCCTGGATAATTCGTATTTTTTCAGATGAAAATTTTTCAGTATACATAACTTTGTTTACTTATTGAGTTTGAAATATCGAAATTATAATTTTAACACATCGATACTCATAAGTATGTTTACACTTTACATGTTTACATTCGTCATTTGATCTTTGTTCGTAATTGTAGCCGTTAAATCATTATTAAACCAAGATGTCTTGTACAAGTAGCAAAAAAAGAACCGAATACTACCTCCAAGCTTCAACCATTGGATCAAGGAGTGATAAAAAATTTCAAAGTATTTTATAGTAAAGAAATTTGTGCTCGCTTGGTTGATGGTTTAGACCGCAATCATAGCGCGCAATGCCCGCTCTGCTCCTCATCCATCGAGAACGCGGAGCACGTATTCTATCACTGCTCGAGGTTCAGCGAAGAAAGAGAGAGACTACACTCCATTTTTTTTTAATTTTTATTGTTTGTTTAATATGTACAAATTAATACATAAGGTGGTGGTGGTACAAACAATTTTCGAAAACCACATACAGAAAGACAGAGTTTGCTAGAGACTTGACTCCCGGCGGAGTTCACAGTTTCAAAATATAAATGAGGTTATTACTTCGTCGAGTTATCGAGAATGGTCAGAAGTCGCCCGAAGGCGAACTGGTTCTAAAATTTTACATAGTGTTCTAGGCAGGAAAAAAGCTATAAATAGCAACAAAAACCCGCTAACAATGGAGAAATACTACACTCCCTGCTCCACTAGTCTGGGCGCTGGTGACATTTAAGTGAACTTGCGAGATCCCCTCAGTGAGTTGACGGATTTCTATGTTTTTTGGGTCGCTGAAACCGAATTTGAATGTCGCCAGGCCGAATTCCTGGTCAATTTTTTGTTATAAACAAATTAATTGTTTAAACAGCTATATCTTGTAAAATATTGAAGATAGATTAAAACAATTTTTATTTTATTTTTCTTTAAAAAACAAAGAAATTCAATTAAATTAATTGAAAATCGGTCCTCTAGAAAAAAAGTTATGCAATAATTAGTGCGAAATTCCTAGAAATACGTCTTTTTTCATCTTTCAACCTCTTGGCTCGTATTAGTGCGATCGAGCTCGTCGACGTCTCATTTTAAAGGTAATAACCTGCAGAATGATGTAACATAAATTTTATGTTAGTCGAATTGTTTATATTGCAGTCTTTACACTAGGGTGGTCCTTACTTCCCAAAGTGCTCCGATTCTCGCTCCTTCTCAAAAATTTAGTTTAGGACCACAAATGAAGAAACCCGTCGTCATAACTCCCAATAGTAGTCGCTAAACCCTCCCCGTTTTCAAAAAACCGTTTTTCCCTATATAACCATGTTGTACTCAATACGGTACTATTAGTAGGGCTGTGCGAGTATCCGATTTTTCGAGTTTTACGAGACTCAAATCACGCATGTGATCAATGAGGTAAATCGTTTTTACACAAGAATAATCTTATAGCCCACATCATTGTGGCGCATCGTTGACGCACTTTGGCCTGATAAATGTTATAATTTATGTTCAGTTTTGTGAAAAAAAAAGAAAAGAAACTTGGATTCTGAGGACTAATTTGAATATTTTTGTGTATTATAATATTATACATCTCTCTTATTGTATTTTATGTTATCGACGTAATATATATATTACGCAATCAACTACCAAGTATTTAAAAAAATAATTATTCATCATACATTTTTTTAAAAGAAAAAAAACTATACTTTAATTTTAAAATTAACTTTATAATGTTACATATTTCATTTATGGTTTTCATATGATACGTATGGAGTATCTTACGGGACAATTGTGTTTACAATAAAAAATTTTTCAATACGACGATTTTTCGCATCATTTCTTTGTTCAAAAGACACAATGATACGTAAAAAATAAAATTGCACGTTCGCGAGCCGAAGCATCGATAAACAACGATCTCGCGATATACACACGAGATATCGAGTACAAAGCGTTTATCAAGGTGTGATCGGATCAGCACTGACTCGTAAGGAACCCATATACACGATATACCCATCCCGAGTCGTCCAGCTCCTGTCCGCATAGTAGCTGACCGGTGCGCGCAGCTGGGTATAGTAATCTATATTCGGCGTGGCCCTCCTTATCAGCGCGAGATTAGCGCGAAGCCTTGACACAAATGGGGCTTCCTGTGCTCCTCCTTCCGTGCGCACGTGCACCATATACATAGTAGGGATCCTGCGAGAGAGAGAAGCTCCGCTTATACCGCCACTGCTGCATCATGCATACAGAGTCGTGGATTTCTCCACTACTCCCCCGCGAGGGACTCGACAAACTTGACTAAAGTAATTAGCGGCTTGTTTATGTGTGCGTTGTGTCCTGTAATTCAGCGGATTTAAGCTCGTGCGCTGTTGTTTGCGCTCACGGATCACACATATTCGCGCGCTGCTCTGCTCTGCGAACGAGAAAGGCCAGCTGTACGGTATTATAGTTATACGGCAAAGGAAGAACGAAGACGACACAAAAAATACCTTGCCAGCGTGCGAATTTCCTCGTATATTTATCATACATTCGGTACTAGATATTACCTAGTAGGTATAGGTACTGCAAAAAAAGCCTCTCACTCGCCTCGCTGATGCCAATGCTGCTGCTGCTGCTGCGGCCATTTCGGCTCGCTGATTCAAATGATTAGAAAGAAACTTGGGCTTTTTCGACCCAAGTGAAGCGCAATTAATTAGTTTTTCGTTTCAAAGAGGAGAGGAGCAGCAGCTCTCGGAGTATCCGATTTTTCGCCCGTAGCATTAACTGGCTCGAATTAACCACCACCCGCAACTCAGCCTTCGTGTATATATAGGTATGTATATATCGAGGATGATGCGGTTTCGAAACGCAAAACCTATATATATATACCTCGACTCTCTGACCAAAGAAATTCTCTTTTCAATACTTCGCCTCGAGCTGAAGCAGCCGAGTATATCCGACCCGAAGCGCTACCCAATAAAAGGCTCTTGTAATGACTTCGCCCATCGCTCCTTGTGTTTTATAACGATCTAAAAGTTTACATTTTCAATTTTTGCAATTTATACAGGATCTCTCTCGCTCACCTGGGCTACAAACAAAAACAGCCGATTTAAATACTTTTGAAGAATCGGAAGTAAACTTTAAAAGGCGCGCAGGCTCTTGTGTATATAGACAGCTGCGCCGCCAGTCAAGCTTCAAGTTATATTGGCAAAGTTATCTGATCAGACACTGAAAGAGAGAGCTTTAACGCGCAAAAAGTCAAGCCGCGGAGTCACGTTTTTTTTCACTGATCGAATCTACGTGTACATATAAGCGTGATGAAATTTTGAGCAGGATTACAAAGAAAATGTATATAAAATTTGCTTTTCTCCAATTATTATTAAAACATTCAACAATCTGCTTGTAACAAAAATTTTATTTTAAATCAATTATGCTTAGGCCACGGCGGAACGATCTCTGGCTCACCCTGCACCGGGCGCTCGATCTCCTTGATGTTGTGCGGATCGACCATCTCCTTGGGATGCACGTATGGGTAGTACATCTTCGCCCACTTCTTTCTCGACTTGGGATCTTCACGCTGCTTCTTGGGAATGTAGGGCGGCGTATGGTCGTCCAGTCGGCGACGGAACACGTGCTTCTTGAATTGCCACCAGTCTCGCCTTTTGTCCAAGGGCCTCGTTTTGTTGTCGATCATATAGATCCTCTGCCAGTCGTAGATTTCAGGTACCAGTCTGAAAAATGATTATCAAAATTAATTACGAGTAATGATTGAGAATGTAGATTTTTATTCGTCAATATTTGAATGTGAACTGACCTATGTCTAGGGCGATTGGATAATAAATGTTTATATCTTTCGTCTAGCCATTTCCTTCTTTCTGGGTCTTCGATATTGGCAACAAGCTTTTCTTTGACTAAGTGCGGTTTCATGTCAACTCCTTCTCTAACTTGAGGTACATTGGCATAAAATTTAATCAAATTCTTTAATACTTCATCATTGAATCCTTTGACTTTGTCATCCTCGATGCACTCAAAAAGTTTCATTGGCTCTGTTACCCAACACATATTTCTGGTTTCATTTTCTTTAATGGCATCAATGTGCATGGTGGTAGTATTTAATTGATAAACTGAGAAATTCCACTCTTGACCATTTGTGATAACTGCTTGGTTGACCAAGGGATAAGTAGGATTGTGGAAAGTAGAAAAACCTGTACAAAAATTTTTGAGAATAACTGAAATATTTAAATTATTCAAATTTAAAAATTTTTAAAATAATAATTTACCTTGATAACATGCTTGTCCGTACAGCCATGCAAAGTTTGCTAAGATTGCTTGCGATTTGATTGCCTCTTCTCTATCTTCATAAGTCTCGTGTCTCTTATGAAGGTAGCCCATGTTATGATATGACACTAATCCAAATTCATTGGGATCTCCAGGCCAGAATCCTGGAATAATTGATGCATGTTCATGAAGCTTTTTGTACCCTACAGTTCTTGGATCTAAATCTTCGACTGGAATTTCCCAACTGGTATCTTTGGTAGCTTCCATAGACATTATTTCTCTCAGAGGTAATTGATGCCTTACTTGTAAAATTGGTCTTCCCTTATATTGTAATTGTTGATTTACAGGCTCATCTGCCCATTCTTTAGAATTTTCTTTACTTTTTCTTGCTTTCTTAATTAGAGGAGGGACTTCAAAACCACCAAAGAACCAAAAAGCTTCAATGCGTGGATCAATATCTATTTGAGATTCCATTAAATGAGGATATTTCATTGATAAACTTGACATCAATATTCTATTGATTTGTTCACTAATAGCTTTGGTTCTGATATTTTCTTGCAAAGTCTTATCTTCTAATTCTTTCAAAGAAAACTGATAGTCTTGTCTGAAAAAAACAGTATGATGATTGTATTTGTTTTGGTATTAAACACCAGATTGAATTCAAACTTACTTTCTGTAATTGTACTCAAAAACCAATGTTTCTTCCACTTGATCTTTGATGTCTCGAACGGTTGCATCAATTGTTTCTGCATCCAAGATCTGATCATAATGCAATGGAAGGCCTGGTTCACTAACAATATGCGTTTGAGTCATGTACTGAGTCTTGGGCAATGCATCGTACATCACCAACTCTTCGCCCAATTGATATGCCTTCCAACCATAGTATCTAGGCATGCTTAGCTCAAAAATCTTTTCCTCCACCGTATCCAGCTTCCTGACTTTTTCGTGCCACAGCTCTCGCGTTCTTCGTGTTCTAGCCTCCCTCGTGTACTCCATGACTGGAAGTGTCAAACATCCATTCTCGTCGATTTGAGGTGGATTGTAACATTTCAGAGGTATGAAAGAGGGCTCGGACTCCGGGTCGATCAAGCGAGCCTTCTTGTAGTACCCGGTGTATTTGTAAGACGAGGGCACATTTTTGAATTGCACATCGACGCCGACGAAACGCACGCTTGGGGTCAGGCGAATCGCCAGACGTGCCTTCGCCTTGCAGCACTGCATTTTCGTACACTTTTGTCAATCAATTGCAAAGCACTTTTAACTTGCCATAACTTGAAAAGCACGAAGCAGACAAATTGACGTTAGGTTATGTGCTAGCAGAACATATAAACCGAATAAACAGGCCGCTTGCAGAAACTATATCGCGCCGCCGCGAACGCCAGAGTACACACATACACACATAATAAACTTGTGTTGTGCCATTCGTCGGCTTCGCGGAAAACTCACTTCGTTGGTAATCGTGCAAACGATCATTTTCGAATACGATCAACTGAGTTTCATTTGTTTTTAAAAATTTACTTTAAAATCATTAGTGTTTTGTTCAATTGTTGTACGTTGTAGATTCAACACAACTTTGTTGTATTTTTTTTCACACAAAGAGAAAATTTGAAATTGACCTCGCGGATTACGTTGAGGCTCGTCACGTAACATTGCTCAGCCGCTAGTGCCAACTATACATCTGGCTTGTTTTTTAACGTGTTGCATTGCTATATTATTGTTATTCGTTGAAGCTGATTGTGATAGGCGTTGCCGACTATCGTGCATATCACTCAGCAGCGTTTTTTTTTTACTTTATTTTCAATTTTTTTTAATTGGCAAAGATGGTTTGCCAAAAAATTGTTCTCATTCAATTGGTTACTCTTGTTTTGCTGTCATGCTTCATTACAAATGGTAAAATACACTCATATAATTTAGCCTTACTAAATATGTATGTAAATTCATTTGTATACAATCACTTACCCTCAAATTTTTGGTACTTTTTAATTTGTTTCATTAAATAAAACCTTCATAGTAGATTTTGTTCAAGCAAAAAGTGAAAACATTTGTATAAATCCTGCCATCTTTTTAGGCTTGGCGATAAAATGTTGGGTGTGCAGATCAGATTCAGATCCTAAATGTGCTGATCCTTTCGACAACTCCACTGTTCCAATCACTGATTGCAGCCAGGAAAAAGATTTAGAACATCTACCTGGAGTGAGACCAACAATGTGTAGAAAAGTACGACAGAAAGGTAAATATATTTTTATTCAGTATCTTTTTTATTAAATAAGTGACGGTAGTTATAACTGCATTTGATAATTCATTTTAGTATCCGGAGAATGGCGATACTTTAGAAGTTGTGCTTTCTTGGGAGAACCAGGTATCTTGGGAGATGAACGTTTTTGCTTGATGCGTACCGGTACCTATAATATTTTTATGGAGTATTGTACTTGTAACAGCAAAGATGGTTGCAATTCGGCTACAGGACTTTATCAAAATTCATATCTTCCAATAGGTTTAACGGTACTTGTTTTTTCTTGGTTTCTAAGAAACTAAATTCAAGGCACATCCTTAGCATGACTCATGAGTGAATTTTAGAATTATTGTTCAGTTTTCACCAGATAAATATTGTATTTTCATAGTTTTTTAAAGCAACAAATTAATCAAATTCAACATAAAATGTTAGAAGATGAATCTATAGATCTGAGCAGAAGACTGCCTTAATGCTGATTCCGTCCACAAACGAACTCAAAATATAGTAAGATTTAGAGTAAACATTTTTATATTTTGTACAGTGTGTAATAAACTTCAAGGCATTGTTGCCTGAAAAAATTTTTTTACAATTTTTGTACATAATACAACGCAGAATCTCAATTGTAAACAATTTAAAAAAAATTAATTTTTATATTTATAAAATCATATAAGGATTAATAAAGAAACTTTATTACATTTTATATCAAACATATTTTTTTCATATTTCATAATAAAGTACATTCAATCATTGTCATAAACGTTTCGATTACAATGTAATATTTCTCTTTTATAAAAAATTGTTATTCCTGGATTAGTAAAGTAATACAATATAAATAGTAAGATTCGAGAATTTTTCAATAGTCAATGGAATTACTATCCGCTAATGTTAAAAACATTTAATTAATTATAAAATTAATCATTATTTGTACTTGATTGAGTGATTAAAAATCAATTAAAGAGTGAATCGATACGAAAACGAACTGCTTCACTAACTCTAACGAATATTTCATAACAAAAAAAAACAAACAATTGCAACAGATTCTCATCCGACTCGAGTATTTTTCTATAAAATCTTGCAAAAAATATTCACAATTCATTGTACGTTTTTTTAGTACACTCGTTAAACGTCGCGTATTGGACGGGTGGCTCGATTACCGACTATACATATATACTTTTTATCCTTCGCGTCGAAGTAAACTTTGCCTACTACATCGTCAGAGCGTCAACGAAATATTATAATATTAAAAATTATAACTCTGTCATTTCGTGTATAATATAATAAGTAAAATTCGATACATGCGTGTTCGCGCGCTTACACATCTCGTCAATATTATAATAATAATTATGGTACAATTAGTTTAAATTTGTACATCGAACAAATTTGAAAATTGAACCGGTGGTAATAGATAAAAATTGGCATTTAAAAACGTAGCGAAGAGCGCATAAATCACTCGAAGGGCTGCCATTTGACGACCGCGTGTCCGGGTTTCGCCAGGGCTTGCTTCCATTGCTCGCCGTACGTGCCGCCGACCTCCGGCCCGATGACGAAGTGTCCGACGGTGACTTTTTTGCCTGAACGACGTAATTAAATAAAAAAAATTAACACCGTGACTGACATTGTGTGTAAAAAAAAAGGGGTACGAACCAATTTTGTTCTTCGAGACGAACTTGACGACGAAGCTGACGTCCTTGAGGGCGCCCGCGTACGGATTCTCGGCGGCGACCTGCGCCTGCTTGTCGTCGAACTTCATCGAGACGCTCGGAGCGAAACGGTCGCTCTTCCAGAAGTGCGTGACTCGGCCGGCGTCGACCACCGACATCTTGATGTACATCTGGCCCTTGAGGGCCTCGTGCTCGTGCATCGACTGGAGCGAGCAGCGCAGCCGCATCAGGGTGAGCACGAGGCGACCCGCGGACTCGCCATCCTTCTTGTCGCCGCTCTTCTCCTGCAGCAGCGAGATCTCCACTTGGCCCTTTTTGTTCTCTCGCTGTGTGCGTGTGTGGGGGAGATTGGAGAAAATAATGGGTAAGACAACAAATTTCTGAGCATAAAGTCAATAGAGGGAACAGATACAACTTAAACTCGTATAATTATTACTATTCCTAAGCTGGTACCGATACATTTGAAAATGGTATTCATATATACCCTCTGAATAATTTTTTGCCACTTGCGACTTTACAATACGCCATCTGTTGACGCAATTAAAAAGCTCACAATCAAAGGTGACACTGTTGATTACGATCAATCTTACAGCAACACAAAACAAATTCTTGGGTAAATATAAGTCAATTTTAAAATCAACGAGCAGCTATGTATTTAGAGTAAACACAATGAAAAACGCTATGTAAAACAAACTATTTGCAAAACACCGTGAAGAAAAACACACCTCATCGAAAGTATCATGGTATTTCCAATTTCCTTCATGGCGTTTCGATGCGATATTTTTTTTATTTTTCATAATCACCGGCAAAATAATGAAAGTTCAACGAAATTCCATGAAAAAAAAATTCATGTCGCATAAAACAAACTTTATATATCAAGAAGTTTCACTTCAAAAAATGATTATTTGCATAAAAGAAAAGAAGAGAAAAAAAGGTACGCGTAGCTTTGCAACGAAACGCGGAGAAATATTCGTTCTCGAGATACACAAGGCATGCCCGACTATAAACGTGTTTCGCGTGCCATATACGTATACGCATAGAAGGAACAACACACAAAAGCAAAACCGTTTGCTCTGTAAAGTAATGCCCATAAGCGTGTCTCTGTGCTGCTGCTTTCAGCAGCAGCAGCAGCAGCTCACAATGTTTTAAACGTCCGCATTTGCATGTTAGTATGTAATATATAATATATTTGCACGTCGAATGCCTCGACGTCCTATATCGCTTTGTGGTTTGAGCTGCTGCTGCTGCCGCTGCTCCTCGAGATGCACACACATACACACCCACACACGTACATATATTTACTCCCGGGTAAAGCTCGCAGCAAAGCAAAGAGTGTGCAGCTAGACGAGGTAAACTTTCGAGCTGCTGCTGCTCCGAAATCTTATTACATTACCGTAGAGTACAATACGAAAGTACGCGCGCGCGTACACGGATTTACGGGAGAATGAAAGAGTTGCTGCTGCTCGCTTCAGCAATTCAATTCGACGTTACTTTTGGCGCGTCTCGAGCTTTTTTCCTGCTGCAGCTGCAACTGCATTTTTTCCGTATTTTCTATACGACTGACGCAAATGCGGCGCGCTTCTATCTCGAGGCGCAGGTATGTAAAATACGGATTCGAGCAAGAGTGCATTTGGCAATGATATAATAACTACGTGTACGATGTGTCGTGCGAGTGCGTAAATTGGCGCATATATATACACGCGTGGCGTTGACGTATTGTACTCGACGTCGTACGTATACGAGCCATACTGTGCAGCGCGTCATTTTTTTTTTTTTTTTTTTTTAATCAATTGGCTCAATTGGATATTTTAAGTGCTTGTGCTTGCGTATACGTGTGTCATCGTCCGATCGCGTGCGAGAGCTTTCCTTGACTTTAGAGCGTTGACCCGCGGGGGGATCGACGCGCACGACTTTTGTTGACCCGCAGGCACTGGAGCAACAACGAGGAGAATAGCGAGATTGATAAAGGAACTGACACACACAGGCACGTCATAATGTAATTAATAAGTTCAATTGGATCAAATCAGAGAGAGGGACACACAGTGTCTGGCTGCTGCACTCGAGACAATCGGTCAATCAAACGGATCTCTCGCTGCATATAGCAGCTGCGGTCACTATCATGATTATCTATACTAACCCGTTCCTCGGCGCCGGAAATCCCACTGGATATCGGCTTCAGCGTCCTCCACATGTCCCCGGTCGACACGTCCGACGGATGCTTGGCCTTGGCCGGTTTGCTCGTGAAGTTGCGCGGATCCAGGGGTACCGAGGTGGCGCCGATCGTGCGCCTCTGAGCGAAGGCCTTGCGCTGCTCCTGATAGCGCGTCAATCCCGTCGATCCGGACTTCGTAGACGAGGAGGTGTTGTCCTCGCCGCTGCTTATCTTGTCGGAGCTCTTGTTGCCGAATATCTGGCTGAGGAGCTTGGTGCCTCGGCTGTTGAGCGACTGATGCTGGTTCAGCTCCTTCTGCTCCTGGATCTGGGCCGAGCTGCTGCCGCCGATCTCCTTCTTGCCGCCCTTGACGGGGAACAGGCTCTTGGACTCTTTCGCTGAAATAATACGAAAAATATTATTACTTTTTTTTTTTTTAATTTACCCAGAAAGTTGGCTGTATCTATGAGTTTGCTCTCTCAACGAGCGCATAATATTTGGATTATTTACTCGGCGCATATATGCGGCTTAACTTAAACTGGCAAACTTTGTATACATATGCGCATGTCATATACTGCATACACACGAGCGAGCGAGTGAGCGAGCGACGTCGAGGTTCTTTGATGTTTGCTATACGCGCATAGAGCTTTTATTCGTCCAATTATTAGGAGAGTCGCTCGCATCCGAATAACGAGAGAACGTATCATTCGTGGATCGCGCCGCAGCCGAGTCTTTTTTCCAAGAAGTAGTAATAGTAGTAGTCTTTTGAAAGAAAAAAAAAAGAGGCGATCGAAAGAGCACAAGTGGTGCTGCTGCTGCATGCGCAAATATTACAAAGATGATGTGCAGCTGCTTCTGCAAGCACCAACGTGTGTGCATACACACGCAAGATCGAGTTGAAAGGCCGTCGTTGTTGTTCTTCTCGTTGACGTGCTTTGGTTGCACTACTTCCAGCGCGAGAGTCTCGCGGACTTTGAAGTACGTATCTAGAGATGTGTATGCGCGAGAAATTCACAACGGCGTATGAATATAATGACTTTACAAACGATCGTAGCAGTGGCAGAGCTTCGGAGCTAGAGAGAGAGAGAGAGAGAGAGAGAGAGAGAGAGAGATCTTTTCCTTTGATCAATTTCGTCAAACAGTCGCGCTCGGCGCTTATACAGGCGCATGTTTAACGACGTTTGCTGCTGCTGCCTTTTGCGGTCGTTAAAATATGCCGAGGGTATATTATACATACAGTATATCGATACGCGTTTTTGTTTGCGTAAAAGATATGTGGTACCCAGCCCCCAAACATGTGTATACCTTAATTAAAAAGTCAAAATAGAGACTTGAAAATCAAAGGAAGCAACGCACCTTTGTTATCCTTGTCGTTCTCCTTCTTCTCGGTGGCTATCAGCGGCTTGTCCTCCAACACCGCGTATAACGTCGCCACGATGATCTTCGAGGCACCGATCTCCTCCTCGACGACCTTCGTCTTGCCGAACTTCTTGGCCTTGGTCTCTTTGCGCAGCGGGAAGCAGAACTCCTCGTTCCACTGAGGCCACGACTCGTTGCGCGCCGTCGTTTCGAACTTTTCCTTGCCCGGAAGAAGTTTCACCTGTGCGCGCATTATCGTATATTTTAACGCGTGACAAATGCACGAGTTCGAAGGGAAGAGAAAGAGAAAATTATATAGAGAAGAGAGAGAGAGAGTTTGAGGGACGATCGCGACGAGGGTAAACTTGCGCTATTTATACTAGAGCTGCTCGGATGAATTCGTTATGACCACTTATACATTTAATAATAAAACGCGGGTACGTGCTATGGAGAGAGAGAGAGAGAGAGAGTCAAGAATTTTCTTTATCGTGTGATGAACGCTACGATACCTTTAACACGTTTTCGCTTTGACTTATACAGTTATTTTGATTTTGCCACTTGTAGATCGACGGATAAAGATACTCGCCATCTAGCGGTAGAAGTTCAAAGTGCTATTATTACGGTAAAGTCAGAGTGGTTGAAAACTCGTCTAAATTTTTTGAAACAATCAAGATGGTTGGGCGGATAAATCGAATGTGTTGAAAAGCGTACGTTTCATAAACACACAATAGTATCATTAATTAGCCAAGAAAACTAACAAACAATTTTGAAGCAAGCCGCGTATAAAGGATCACATTACTGTCCAAACTACTTGCGTTCAAACTCAATTAACCATTACACTCCAAATCGAGATGCATTAGATATTGCATGATTCGCTATTGCAAATGAAAAAGGATAATTCGTAACAATTCTAAGAGACTTTTCCTTAAAAGCTTATGGTAGTTGATAACAAACTTTTTGGAATCATTCTGGCAGCTTTGATAGGAAGCTTCCATAATAAGTGAGCAGAAAAATTTGGTACCCTTTACCGCACATCGAACTCAAAATAAACTCGCGCAAGCGCCTCTTTTGTATCGTAATGAAACATATTCGTGTACGCGAATACATGAATCGACCGACGCCTTTACCCACCTTGACTATGTAACTGTTGACTCGCGTCAGGCCGAAGTTCTGAGGCAGGTGTCGGGCGCCCAGCACCGTCACCCTGAGATTCTTCTCGTCGGCCGAGTGCACGATCCTGAGTCCGACCTCGGGCTCCAGAGGACCGCCCGTGGCTCGTTCGATCGGCTGCGACACCGTCTTCAGGCTCGTGTCGATGAAGTTCTTCAGCTTTGCCATCGCCATGATGACGACAACGATAATCGACGAGGTAGACTGTGCACGTGAAAAATAGGATTTATCGCGACCGCTCGACTGCAGCAGCTTTATCTGGCCCACAACAGCTGCAGACGATAATACTCATCGGGATCCTGGCGCGTCAATTTTTCCGGAGGGGGAGGCGACCTGCAAAGGCAAAAATGCGCATTTATACATAAAGGCGTCGTGTAATCCGTGCTGTAGATTTATCATATACACGAGCGGGGGAGTGAGAATTGCAGCAGCTGCACGACACGCGAGCTTTATACACGCACAACACATTGCTCCGAAGCGATTACGTCGCGTATGCGAAATTTCGTTTTTCGAAAATTTTTGTATGCAGCAGCGAAAGGGAGAGAGATTTATCATCGATGCGACGCGACACCAGCTCGCGAGCTTTTTATCGTGCGGCCGCTGCCGTTGTTGTTGTTGCTGTATTTGTTTTGTTCTCTCGATCGACGCGCGAGCACCAGCAGCAAAGGGTGTCAACGACGTGGCGGCGGCGGCCAGCGTCATTTACTTCGTGTGTATGCGTGTGAGCGCGCTATCGCGCGTATCCCAGTGCACGCGTGTTTTATGTGCAGCAGCACGCCCGCGTGTCAGAGCTGTCCATGTATAATTTAACGAAAAGAGAGAGAGACAGAGAGAGAGAGAGAGCCACACACAAACATTTGTTCGCACTCTCGTGCCCGAGCTTTTGCGCGCCCCGGAGCTTTTTTATGTATACATATATATGTATATACGCACAGAGTAGTTGTACGAGAGAGACAGAGAGAGTCGCTTATTCGGCCCACAGCAGCAGCAGCAGCAGAGCTTTCATTTTTTCCCCGCTATTGACGGGCTCGCACGCGTTAGAAGAACAAAGCTCTCTCTCCCGCGCGCGCGTGCTATTACAGCAACGAAAGGTTATTTCGTTCGTCAATGTTCGTTTTGACGTTTGAAAAAGCTATAAAAAAAAAAACACAAAAATTATACGTTTAATGGAATCGCAGTATACACGCTGTTTACATTATCGAGTGCGCGCGTGTAAAATTGAAAGTAACCCGGCGGATGAGCGATGATTTACTTATACACCCATGCAGGTATACACTATACACATACAGGAAAACTAATGGATGCAAACACAGAGCTATTCGAATTGTAATTTTTAGGTGTGTGTGTCAGAGACGAGCTTTCAACTTGCAGTAGTAGTAGGATGTAAACAATGCGTGTAAGCTAACTGAGAATTTATACGCTTGGACTGCTCGTAATCGGATAAACGCTTGTTATAAAAGAGATAAGAAAAAGATATGTATAGAAAAACTGCCAGTCAGAGATCGTTAGAGAGATCATCGCGAGTGAAGCTCTCGGCTGGATCATACATAAATGATACGCCGTTCGGACTACGTATAGCGCATCGAGCTCTCCTGTTTACTCGGGTGGATAATGCGTAAAAAATATCGGCTGAAATTCGCTATTCATTCGAAACTCGAACCAAAATTGACAAGCTTATGCAGCACGAGCTTCGAAAGTAAAATACGTTCGATCGAGCAAACGTCATAGTCACGACGATCCCGCTTAATTTGCTATTTAGCGTATACGTATCGATGCAGTCGAAGAAAGTCGAGACGCGCGTGTTTGTATACCACCGCCACCGGTTATAAGTCGACTCGAGGGCAAATATTCAAAAGTTTTTTGCGCGAAAGATAACCAAACGAGAGCTTTGGCTCGTTCATACCATCCTGCACCGCGCGTGGAAATTCATTAGCGCGCGCGCGCACAGTTTAATTGAAAAAAACAAAAAGCGGCAATGTAGCTCGGAGCGAAACTGAGCTAGGCGTGTGCATGCAAAAGCTTACAACATAGCCTTTAACCGTTGCGTTGCGCTTCATTTCTATATAATACTTATGCAGACTGGCACGTACTACTACTATGCGCGTCGTGGCGGCGGCAGCGGCGCTAATTGAATAATTTAGCGCTCGCGGACGTATTAGGCGCTAGTCTCGAGGTATATAAGTATAAAGAAGTGTGCGCTTTGCGAATAGCATGCTAAAAGCTCGAGGCGCGGGTAGAGTACAAAGGCGGCGGCCGACGACTCTCGACTTTATATATATACTTATTACAACGCTGTACTCGCGGCACGACTCAAGTCCGCGTCGATCAATAGTTATAATCCGCGAATTTACCCCGCCAAATATCGACTATTTTGATTCGGCGATTACATTATGTCATCGTGTTTATACGCGCGCGCGCGACCATCAATTTCAACGGCGTATTATAATTAATTTTCTCTCTCTCTCTCGGCCATACGATCGATAATAACATAATACCTGCGTGTGGTTGATATTATAATGGCCTGCGCTGCTGCAGCACGATGATCGCGAGGCGACGATAACGCGAGGAGCGTTTGTGCGCAAACGGGTGTCAATCGCGTACGACGCCCGGAAAATCCGCGATTAATTTCATATAGCATCTTGGAGGATTCGATTACAATTGCTTCTATAGTATATTAATTACTTTTCGCGAAGATCGACATTTCGATCTCCCTCTCGAGCTTATAGTGTTTTCGAAGATAGATCGATCTATCTATCTATCTCTAGCCGCCGTTGAGGCTGACTCACACCGAGCGATGAGCTAAGGATTATTACACCGCCGCTGCAGCAAGTGTGCAATAGCACGATTGTCATATTGGCAAGAATAGTACATAATGAAATTCAACGCGTCTATCCCCGCAGGCGCGCACGACTTTCTAAATAGCATTAATTTACGATGCGGCGCGGCGCAGCGCGATGAGCGTCATTTTTCACTCTGCTCGCCGGCTATATATAATAATGATAAAAATATCGATTGCGCATAATACATCACGGCGTCATTACAAAAGGGCGGTACGTATGGCTGACGAATCGCTGCATGTGTGTAAGCTGTCTCATGACTCAAGTCAACAAATACCATGGCGGAGGGAAAATTAATCGCGAGAGCTTCCGATCGAATCTAATAATAATAATAACAATCATTTTTTAATACACCATATTCTACACGCGGCATTAAGCACGGAAACGTCTTTTTAATGCCGCAGAGAGATGCGTATCGCGCGGCTCTTCTCGACACCCGCAGTGGAATGCAATTTTCTCAGCCCGAGCTCTCGCTCGCGTCGTCCTCGACAACGTTATAAGACGCATTGTTCGCGGGCTCATTCCGATGATCCGCTAATAACGAGCTCGCTGCGGTGGCGCGTACTTACACAGTCGCTTTAGAACTATATATACAAGATAAGTATGTATATAATACACGACGAATAGCGGGGTCCCCCCGCGCGTAGAGGAGGATGAGCAACGCGTCGACCCTCTTTTACATCTTAGCTCATAGTAGTATATAGTTGTAGTCATAGTAGTGCCTGCAGCAGCTGCACTGCATTATAGCTCTCGACGCCGTCGTTCCCGTTATAGCCATGTATAGATATATAGGTAACTTGCGTATACATGTGTACGTATATACGCGTCGATAAAAAGAAAACGTTAATATGTGGTACGCAGCGTCGCGATTCTGGCACACGACTATATACGACTGCGTTTCATTTATTCAACGGTATAGCAGCGGCATACGCGGAAAAAAGGCTTTGCCCGCCGGTTTTGTCGCAGCGACTTTGTCATTACGTACCCGAAACGCTATCGATTTTTTTGTGCAAATTATATCTTCTCGATCGAATGCTGCGCAGCAGTAATTATCCTCGCAGCCGCGTCCTCGAAAATGAATAAATTAATTTCGATGCATGTACACTTCGAATCGCGAGATATTGTGTACGTACGTTTTCGGAAGCTCTCGGAGAAAATTTAGTCGCGTGTTTGTATACAACTATGCTTCGCCGTCGCTCAACGACGACAATTATCTGTGTGTGCGACATTGCAGGACTTTAATTTTCGCTCACGATGCTGCCGCGCGTTATTTCATTAAATTCAACTTTGAGCGTGAAATTATACACATCGTCCAAAATTACTCACTCGTGCAGAGAGGAGCAGCGAGTGCTTGGCCTTTTTCGTGCGTTCTACGCATCAATAGTGCAATCGCATTTCGAGCGAAACTCGTTGTCTTTATCATTATAATTATATAAAGCTTGTAAAATTCGACGAAATAAGACGCGGGGTTTTCTCAAACATTTTTCACAGCATGGGCACAAAAATTACGCGTCGTCGCGCCAACCTGTCTATGTTAACAAGTGTAGCACAAGAAAATTTAGTTATACGCGTATATGAAAGATTGGCTTTGTTTGCTCTCGGCGGCGGCGGCGCCCATGGGGCGCAAAATTACTCCCTCGCTCCTCTAATTAGCTTGACTTACTCATTAAACGTGAAGTTCATTAGACGCTCGCGCGCGCCCGTTTATAAGCATCAACATAAGGAACGGATTCCATTATTACGCTTAAGCACGCGCGGCAGCGGCACATCGGCTATGTGTATAGTTATTTTAATATTTTCGAATTGCGCGGCGCAGAATGTTTATACGTCTGAAATTTTTTCAACTTAGCCAAGCGAAAGAAAACAGCGCGTCGATTGTCTCTCTTTTTTTTAATTTTAATAATTTTAATTTTGCGATTGTTGTCGGCGATTAAAAAAAAAATTTCACGAGCCAGCCGGTTATTTTCCAAACGAGCTCGTGCGGCATGCAGGTATCGTTATTACGCAATTGTTTATTTATCGTCGTCTGCGCACGAGTAGCAGTTTTATATACGTCCGATATAATTTTTCGTCGTCGTCGACGGCGATCACGTGCGTTCACGTACGTGCATGTTTATCGCATGGCAAGGGCACACAACGCACCGAAATTGATTCGAGCGGGATGTGCGATATAAATTATCGATGGTCGTCGCGGGCGCGCGCGAAGCGAAAATCGAAAGTGCACACGACGAATATTATAATACATCTGGTACAAGAGTCATCCTTGAAACTCGCCGCGCATATATATATAATACGAGCAAGCGGTGCAGTCATCCGCATTACGAAAGGTTTTTATTGTGTGTGCTGCAGCGGTGCAAAAAAAAAACGAGCAGCAGCCGCACACAATCGGAGTCTCGAGACAGACTCGAGGTTCGTATTATATACATGACGATATACACACGTAATACACATTAAAACACATTAAACACGAGAGAGCTATTACGGTCGTGATCGTATTGTAAGTGTAATTATGTCACGCTCCGCGGATGGAGCGTCGCTCGCTCGAGCGGAAAATCAAAACATACAGCGGCGCGAGATCGCGTGTGCGCATTACACACACGGCCATCTGCAACTGCAACCGCTGATCGGTAACAACAAAAAAAAAAAGAAACAAATTCGAGGAAAACAAGGTCGACCGCGACGCGCACTCACCTCGACACACCTGCAGTATATAAAGAGATGCAGAGAGACGTCACGAAGACGATGACACGAACTCGTCGTTATATTATGTTGTTAATAACAACTGGCCCACACGCGTCGGTGAAAAATCGCACTCTATACGACGCACACATGAAACAGCACCACAACACACGCGCACAGAGCAACAGGTATGCAGCGAGATATTTTATGTATACTCGAGACTGGGCCGAGTCCAGCGCATACCATGCACACGCGCCTATACCGGAGAGCAGCAGCTATCTATATAGACTGTGGCCGCGAGCCGCTCGGCAGCGAGATTTTATAAGAGAGCCACACACGCCGCGTGTATAGCAGCATATATAGAGGTGCAGAGAGGCCTGGCGTCCCTCTTCTCCGCTACACATACAATACTTGGCTATAAGTATAGCCTGCCTACAAGCTCTCGTGTATGTACTACCTACTTGTCTGCAGCAGCGGTAGCGGTGCAGCTCGCCGCGACCGCAGTCCATGTGTTTTCGCTTTGTCTCTTTTTTTTCTTTGGCGCGAGCGCGAGCACGAGCACTTTAATAATCGCTAGTATAGCTCTGGCCTCGGTGTATGCACAGGCTGTGTGCTATACTCACGCATCGACCGCCCGAAGATATTACGTCGAATATCATAAGCCTTAATATAACGTAATATAACAACAACGCGGCATAGCTAATCGTACGTTAAGGCACTCGTGCGTTCGATCCCACGACGAATCGATCCCCATACATTGCACACAGAGAGCCTCGTTATTGTCGTTCATTATCGGCGCGCACCGATCATCGCGCGCGCGGCCATTAATTCTTAATGAGCCCGTCGTCGTCGAATTTTCACGCGCGGCTGTCTCATCGCGACGACGTGTTGTATTAAGTATTTATATTTTTTATATTATAGATAGATAGATACGCAAGAGCTCCGCGCGGTGCACAGTAAGCAGTTTGCGAAGCGCGCATTTTTCGAGCCTTATGTCACGCCGAGCCGACGACGACGACGACTTTGTTTACGTTTTATAGAAATGCACCGCGCGTGGCGTTGAAAAAAGCGCGGGAACCTTTCGCGCGCATCATCGCACGCGATATTTCATTGATCGTGAATCGTATAGCACTATATGAAAGGTCGCACTTGGAGACACCCTTGAAAACTTTTCATTCGCTCGAGTTTCGCCCGCTGCGCTCCGAGGCATAGAGATAAGCGAGCGACGATAATTTCCGATATAATATACAAAACTTGCAGTTATGTTCGCGCGTTTACTCGTGCACGCAGTGCAGTCAAAGAACGGCACACAAAGTGCGTGAGACACATCGTACTTATAGACTCTTATCTCGAGCGATCGCAATGTGTGTACCGTCATTTTTTTGGGAGTCGACGAGAGAAGAAAAAAATTATCTTATATTATACCTGACGGCTATTTACGCGTGACTCATATTATGCGGATTGTATCAGTTTTTTTCAGCTACTGACTCAACGAATTGACCAACTAATATTTTTGAGATACTGGTTTTTCACCTAATACTACAGTTTTTTTATCATCTTGTACCTACGCTACTAAACACTTATACGAGACGCCAAGAAATCGATGAAGCACGATACGACAAAAAAAAAAGAACTTATCAGCTTATCGCTCGGCCTGTCACTTTCTTCGTAACTCTCGTGTTTCGCGAGTTAATTAGCGGTTTAAGTTCTCGTCTAATTTGTTGAAAAATCAGCTGTCATCGTGAGGCATCGAAAATTTGTTGTATTTAAGTAATTTTCTGTCATAGTGAAAATAAAATACGGAGCGCAGTATATAGTTGTAATGAGTCAATCGCGGCTAACTATAACGGATGTTGTGCGCTCACTATTGCTTATGTATTTACAGGAACTCCAGTTTTTGGCAGCTCACCTGACACATACACACATAAACTCACGTACACGCATCAATGTAACACATCTACCGGCGCTATGGAAATGTATTGTATCATGTAACACACACACACTTGCGAACGAGCGGATCTCTGACGGCAAAAGTCGCAGAAGAACAGTGCGACTAAGGCGCGCACGCAACATCTATAAATATAGGCCTATAGGTATACATGAACCGTCGGCGCGAGAGAGAGAGAGATAGCAGAGTCTCGAGGCTTGGCAGCGTCGCGCACACACATAGACAACGGACTAACATCCGAATTCAGAATTCCAGAAGTGCTTGAAATAGGTAGTAGTTAGTAGGCTGTCGCGTTTGAAGTATCGAGTTTCAACTCTTCGAAGGAGACACTCGCGCGACGATGCCTTTTAACGAGATGTCACCGGTTTCGCGCACAATTTAAACGTAACATACGAGCCGGCGGGACATGATGCACTTCGAAAACGATAATATTACATACAAAAAAAATTCACGCTCTTTTGGTAATCCACTCACCGATTCGTCGACCGTCGTCGCGTTGCTCCGAATTGTGTACAAAAGAAAAGAGCAGAAGCGCAGCGACACTCGGTGCTACACTACATATAGGTAAACAAGCGACTGCACGACAACTGCTTGGCTGCCGAGTCTTACATTTACACTTGTACTTACACTGCGAATATTAGCACACGCGCTTTCGCCGCAGCAGCTAAGCAGCCTACGCGTGATTTTCGATACACGCAGGTAAGTATCGAAGTATGTGTGTTGCTTCTGCTGCTGCTGCTGCTGCTGCTGTGACTACATGTGTGTGCGAGTATTCAAGTCGGAGTTCAGAGTCCCGGTCCGGCATGGACTGTATATATATATACCAATGATACACGCGTAATACGTGCGTTTTAGGATTGCACACTTCACACATACACGAGTAAAACTGCGTGACACTATACGGCAATAATGTGTCAAGCCCGCTGGAAAAGAAGAGACTATTATAGGTACGATTTTATAGCCTCGAGCCTCGTGACTCTCTCGCGGCGGTGAGTCGCGTGTCTGTGTGTGCATCGCGTATAGCGTCCGTTCCAGGCGCGGTATTGTAACTTGTAACAGAACGTACAGCAGTTTTGGAGCGGCGCGACGAGAGCAACTGCCAACTGCCCCGCGAAGGTGACTGCAGCATTCGATGCACTGACTGAAATTTGGACTAATTTGACGCATGTCAATGAACATTGGTAATTGCCTGTAGCTAATTTTGTGATACGGAGGATAAAAATTGGAAATTTTTCGTAAATATTTTATGCGGGACGCTGCTCTTATCTAACTCTTCTTTGTTTTTCGAACACCGAACACCTGTAAAAATATCCATGACGGTACGAGAAAATCACATTTAACTTAATAAATGGTATAATTTTTGGTGAATTTTGAGTATTATTGAAAAAAAATCAAGATGTTCATAGTAATTTCATAGGCTAATACTCAAAAAACTTCCGATGAAAAGTTAGGAGCAAAGTATTAAAAAATTAACATCAACTTAACTAGTTCAACATTTTATTAGCTTTACTTACAATAAATGGTGTGCTTCATTTTCTCCAAAATTATTTTACATAAAATAATATAAAATTGTTGGAAATCATAATATTATTATAATTGAGAACGATTAGTCTTCCGAACTTGTATATTAAATGTTTACGTTCGTTGCTCTGTAATGCGGGAGTCGCACACCAAATCGATGTGTTTTTTAAGATTACTCTTGGTTGAGATATTTTTCCGCGTGTATCGCATGTCTAAGTCATACCATGATGCACTGTATAGATGTGGGTTTAGAGAGCCAACTTACGTGAATATGATTTTCTGCATATAGCGCAGGTATTTTTGGTACCATTATGTTCTGTATCCACATGTTGTTTCAGAATACTCTTTTTTGAAGATTTCTTTCCACAAATTTCACATACCTATTTGACACCATTGTGCACTATATCGATGTGATTTTTAAGAGAAGACTTATATGAAAATGATTTGCCACATTTATCACATGTAAGTTTTACACCATTGTGCGCCGCAATGATGTGGTTTTTGAGATTACCCTTTCGTGAAAATGATTTTCCGCATATATCACATGTATCTATGGTACCATTGTGCGCCGCAATGGTGTGGGTTTTGAGACTACCTCTATGTGAGAATTTTTTTTCGCAAAAATTGCATGCATGTTTGAGACCATTGTGCGCCGCATCGATGTGGGTTTTCATCAGATAAGCTTTCGATGAAAATGTTTTGTTGCATACATCACATGCGTGAGTTATCTTATTATGCACCATATCGATGTGGTATTTGAGATAACTCTTACAAGTGAATGTCTTTCGGCAAATATCACATGTACGTTTGATACCAATGTGCGCTGCATCGATGTGACTTTTGAGATTACCCTTTTGTGAAAATGATTTCCCGCATATATCACATGTATTGGCGACAACATTGTGCATCGCATCGATGTGGGTCTTGAGGCTACTCTTCTGTTTGAATGTCTTTCTGCATATATCGCATGAGTAAGTAATACCATAATGTGATGATTCGGAATGCCTATTCAGATTACTTTTACTCGCAAATTTCTTTCCGCATATTTTACATACTTGGGTTTTATCGTGCATCTTTTGAGGTTATGTTTTTTGTTTCGTCTTTTTGGAATTTCTCTGTTTCTATTTTGTTCAAAAAGTTCACGGTCGATATTCACATTCGATTCTTCTCCGATATCATCAAAAAATTCTCGTTTCACTTGCCTCGGGGTTTCTATTTTAATTTTAGCTTTATAAACACCATCGTTTTTTGCATTGCGCAAGAAATTTGGCGAATCATCGTCGATTTTTTTAATTGTTAATAAATTAACGTTGGGCTTGACGTTTTCGCATTCAATAACGATTTTTACTTCGTCATGAAGTTCACTTTTATGATTTCCGTCCCATTTTCGACGGGTACTGGACTGCTGAAACATTAGATAAGAATCACATACATCTGGGGTCAATGGTAAGAGTTGAAAGTCTTTCAGATTGGGTTTCTCGTCAGTCATTTCACCATCGTTTTCAAGAAACGACACAACACTATGTTCATCTTTGACTCTTACACGAGTACAATTAAGTTTATCACTGTATTCCATCGTTCTCACTTGGAATTTCGTTAACACTTGAACTTTCTGCGATGATTTCACACATCCAGCTAACTTAATGCACTGAAAAGAATGGCGAACTGCGCAATACTGTGCCGTCGTTATATTTTGGAAAACTGTGTCGATGCGACTAGCCCGTAGAGTGGGTCAGGTTATAACGCGTACTTTACTCAGCAGAGCTTCGCGGCACGAGTCACGACCCTTCACATAGCGTTATGGCATGATGCACGGCAAAACACGACGGACCGGTTAGGTCACCCAGCATGCGACGTCCGATTCGTAAACAACAGAACGAGCACAACTCTGTATGATTGTTAGTCATTATTTATATGTTTATGGCTTGAAATTAATTGAATGACATTGACAAATTATGTTATTCAGTTGTAAAGTTATGGATTTCTATTGAAGCAATATGTTCGAAATGACGAAAAATAGTGTTTACCCATAAATTAAACTTGTACTCATTCCAAGTTTGACATTGCCGAAACCGCTCGAACATCTTCTCTGATTGTCTTCTTGGCTTTGGGTCATTGAACACTCGAAGGAAAATTCTCGACGAATTAAAAAATTAACATTTAAACAAAATAGTACTTGTAAGTGAACGTTGAATAACGAGAGAGAAATTTTCTCATAAAAAATGATGTATTATAGACAGCTTAAATAGTTTTGAAGCCGTTTAGTTCTGATAGATGTGAGTAAATCGCAAAACGAATGTTAACGAAAAATGAGGACGAGCGACGTGTGCTGAAAAGAGACAAGCATTGTAAAATGGATATATCAAGTTATGGGGTTCAACATTTTATTAGCTTGAAAATTAAAAATGTGCTTTATTGTGCTCTAAAAATGTATTAATTTTATAAAATGTAAACATTGTTTTTTATGACATAAAATTGGATAAACTTAAAATACTGTTATAAATTAACATTTTCAAATTAATCCTTAGAACACATACAGCAGACATTTATTAAGTTGTGATGCGTGAGTAATGCACCGAATCCATATGAAATTTGAGATTCATTTTGTTTCTGAATTTCTTTTCGCCTACATAACGTAATGAGCGACACCATTGTGTACCACATGGACGTGGACTTTAAGACTACTTCTCTTATCTGTATAAATTACTTTCCATGAGCATTGCATGTTTGAGTATTTGAATGAAGGTGCGAATGAAGGTGCCTTGTGAGACTATTTTTTCGTGAAAATGATTTTTCGCATTTGTCGCATGGATGTTTGAGACCATTGTGCACTGAATCAATATGGATTTTTAGATGACCCTTTCGTGGAAATGATTTTTCGCATTGGTCGCATGTATGTTTGATATCATTGTGTTCCGTATCCACGTGTTGTTTCAGATTTCTCTTTGTTGAGGATTTCTTTCCGCAAATTTCACATACATATATGACACCATTGTGCACTATATCGATGTGATTTTTAAGAGTAGACTTTTGTGAAAATGACTTTCCACATGTATTGCATACATGAGTAATACCAAAATGCACCGTATCAAAGTGCATTTGAAGATAACGCTTTTTTTGAAATTTCTTCTCGCAAATATCACATTCGTTAATCATGCCACTGTGTACCCGATGGATGTGAGTTTTCAGATATCTCATCGCTAAGAATTGTTTTCCACAAATATCACATGCATGAGTAATACCACTATGTACCTCATGTTTATGTGCTTTGAGATGACCCTTGTGTGCGAATGTTTTTCCGCAAATATCACATAAATGGCGAATGCAATGGTGTGATGAATTGACAAGCCCTCTCAGACTACCCGCAGTTAACAAAATCTTTTCACTTATTTCACACGCGAAGGTTGTATCATTTTGTACGATGAGTGTTTCGGATCTATTTTGGTTATTGATCTTTTTTGTAATCATTTTTTTATTTTGATCGATAATTTGACCGTCGAAATTCAAATTTGGTTCTTCTCCAACTTCACCAAAAATCTCTTTTTTCACTAATTCACCCATGGTTTCTATTTTAATTGCAGTTTGAGTTTTGTAACAATCGCTATCTTTTATATTCTGCATGTGATATTGAAAATAATCATCGATTTTTTTCACTAATGATAAATATATATTGGGCTTGACGTCTTCACATTCAAAAACTATTTTCATTTCGTTGTCAAGGTCGCTTTTACGATTAACACATTTTCGAAGAGCATCAACCTGTCGAAAAATTAAAATTATGTAAGAATTTTCATTAAAAATTAACGACAGTATTAATTATCGCATTTACCGAATTTTCTTGCGGAAATGGGAAGGGTTGGAAGTTTTCAAGCTCGGGTTTCACGTCAATCATTTCACAGCCATTTTCACTAAGTAACGCATAATTATGCTCCTTTTTGACTCTGAAATAACCCCAATCAGATGAAGTGTTGTTGAAATATTTTTACAATTTCATTTTCAATAGATGAAAATTACCTGACAGCACAATTGTGTACATCAGTGGATTCCATAATTATCACTCGATATTTTGTTGTCAATTAATCTTTCGAAGATGATCAAACTAACTAAACACGAAAAGACAGGAAAAGAACACTATGTTATGCTCGCTACACCTATTTTGAAAGACTGTGTGATCTATCCTAAAATGCAAGGTTATGCGACACCAACTCAGTATTTAGCAGTACAGCCACATGACCCATGGCGCAGCGCTATCATGGCATTTTCGTCAAAACACGGAGTCTAGCGGACGCCGGACAACTCACGTATAGGTCGTAAATACGACGCACGACGTAAACAATAAAACGAGCATAACTTCGTATGCTCTTCGAAGTCTTTCCGTTTGGCTTACATTTAAATTTAATTATATTTACTCGCCATGAGATAAAATTTAAAAGATGATGCAAAACTGTACCATTTTTATTATTATATCAATAGATAAATTACACTGTGAATGTCATGTCTAATAAATAGTAAACATTTTGCTGTCACTGATCTCACGAGGTGGGAAATTAAATGATTCTACGGTGCACGAAGCTTACTGAGAAACAGCTAATTTCATTAAAGTTTCATATTTGAAACACTGCAGAATTTCTATAGGTATTCAACGCCCCAGAGCCAAAAAGAGAGTAAGAGAACAGTTTTGAAAATAAGAAAAATAAGTAAGTAGTTAAAAGACTAAATTTCAATTTTTCCATGTTTCTGGTACCTTATTGAAGATCAATCATTCAAGCCCATTACATGTGAGTCAGATTTTAACTTCGATTAAAGATTTTTCGTACAATGGCTCATATACATAAGTGACTCTTACGGCCGCTTCTAATGTATTTCCATATGCAGTACCGCACCAACAATCTGTGACAGATTACATATAACTTAAGCGCACGCTGTATACCTACGACGTCTTGCGGCCTAATCTACGACGTCACCTTTGCGGTCGTCTCCAGGGTAATCTCAATATGTATCTTGTGCACCTCGGCCATCGATCGATCGGCTTGCGCCGCGCACGTCTTTATATGCACTTGCTCGACTTATACTTCGCCCATTACACAAGCAAACTTGGCCGAAACTTCGATTAACCCGGCCAAGTTGGAACGATGACGAGGCGCCTGTGTACCCTGTACTTGGTATCGTCGGCTTCCGCTCGTTACTCAATCGACGATTCTTGCCCCCGAACTTTCGGACGGAGCTTGTAAGCTACATATTATAATAGAGCTGTATGTAAACAGAAATCTTTTTACTGCAGCTTGACCCGCCGTCGTGTATACGTAGATAAATTGATATTGCGTGTCTGTACAAAACTCGCGTTGTACAATCGACTCGTCGACTTTTCGATTCGAGCGATTTCTAAGAACGATCGAGTATCAGCGGTAGATTAAAGATATTTTGGAGTTACTTGACAGTTAACCTGCGATTAGTAGAAAACTTGACCAGATTTAATGTGATAAAAAACGAGTAACAATGGCACTTTTAGTGCCTCGATTACACAAACAAAAGCATTTGTATTTTATTTTACCAATATATTTTATTACAAAAATAAATCTGATGTAATAAAAAGCACTCGTAATTCGGCGTCGTTCGAGAGGGAGCAGGTAATAACGTTTATCTTGGCACGTGGCTGAAATAAAACCATAAGCTCATTATCGCGCGTTGACTCTTTTTTTCCTCTTTAATTTTTTTTTGTTGCAACAAAATATATATATACGAAGCATAGAACGCGACATATACTAGCACGAACCTGCACGAACACAATTTGCGCGCAGATAATGTTTTTTATCTGCCGCGAGCGCGCGCGAAGATTCGTAATAGAGATAAGCATTTTCAAAATAACACGTCGCTGCCTGCCGCGAGAGACAGAGAGAGAGAGAGAGAGATACGAATTTTACGATATTGTCTTTTACCGAGCTCGTTGCTGCCTCGCGTTCTGCCTAGATATAAATCAATACCGCCGAGGCATAAAATTCGTCGCTTCGAGGTGAGCGAAAAAATATATTTTTTATTTCACCGAAATTAGCGCGAGTCAGAGTTAACTCACCTCGAAATGGCTATCGACGTTCAAAAGTGATCGATCCGTACACATAAAAAAGAAATTGAAAAACGCAGTCGCGGCACGATCTATAATAATGCGCATTCCTCGACACTCGCGCGCAAATATATAATAGGCGTCGTCTTCGCGGAGCGCAACTCATTTTCCAACGCGTCGTCGTAGTCGTCGTTGTTTAATAAGCCTCATATGCATACGGAATAAATGAATGCGCGATAGGCTTCGTAGCGCCTCTCGAGCGATCCGACGAGGTGACAATGGATTTGTTGAAACAACGCGATGGAATGTACGCTGTTGAGCACCGCGGAATGCGCCAGAATTAATTTGAATAAGAAGAGTGCGTCGAATGTCGTCTGATGCAATCGACTTGACGACCCGTGCGACAGATACACCGCTCGCGATATCCAAAAGCTCCTGTTCGTTTGCACAGCACTGCGGTGCTTCCGAAAAAGCCCAAAAATTTACAACACCCACATTTTCTTGTGAACGATTTTTGAAAGTATTGTTTATTGCTCATTGAACTGTCAACGTTCAGGGTTGTACAAATCATTCGCTTACATTATGATGATAAAAAAAAATTTGATTATGGCATCTCGAAGTATGTGTGTGTGTGTGTCTGTGTGTTTGTTTGTCCACGTCGCCGATGCTCCCGAGCATACGTAATTATGTCGATCGCACGTGACGATATGCAAGGATATTATAGCTGCGGCAACTATTAATCGCGGGCGACTTAATATACAAAGTAGCGAAGAGCCTCGCAGCAGCAAAACAAAGAAACTACAAAAGACTTTCAATAAAGCGCTAATTGTCAAGCGGAATCGATAAATAAAAGCGATGCCGTGTGTACATGAGCGCTCGACGGAACGCAACACTCAGAGTATACCATTGGAGTAATAAATATTATACAAATTAAATGGCAGATTTTTACAATAGCAGATTATCTCTCTAATGATGTCCATCCATCCATTCATCCATGACTAATTTTACTATTAAATCATCGCAGTCCGATTGTTTTAATTGTAATCAAATTACGAGCGATCGAAAGTAAAAAACAAGTTCGCTCTCTATCGATTCCAGAAGTCCAGGCGTATGTGTTTGACTAGCGGATAGATAATGTAGATCATCAAACCGACGATGATGAGGGAGAGAATTATCGTTGCCACTCTGTAGCCGTCGGACACTCTGCCATCGTCTTCGACGGCGGGAGTCTCGCTGTCAGCGTCTGCGTTTATTAAATAAACAATTAATTTTTCTTTCGAATGCAGCAACGAACATGGGCGCAAATTTAATTTCAATTACGTACCAGGAAGCGTGATTTTGAGCCAAGATTCCGCCCTACTGAATTTTCCATCCGTTACCTGTTTGAACACGACAAAAGTACAACAATGAAGATAAAGCGAACATTACGTTGACGTCAATTAAAAAACTTTGCCACCCCCTTTCTACTTACCGACAATTTCAACAATACATTTTTCTGCAAAAATACTTTTTGATCTGTGCTGGTTTTAGTCAGCAAAATTTTAACCTTTCGTGTAGCTTTGTCAACGGATGCTTTGAATTCCAAATCGGTGATTGCTATGTACAAAAAAGTTTATTGAAATTTTGTCACGTACAAAGTAATAGTTTGCGGCAATAAGTATTAATTTGAAAGCTACCTTCCACGGTTAAATTCAATTTTTCCAAATTTCCACGAGACAAAACTATTGGTTTGTCTAAATGTGAAGTTAAATCTGTATCTTTAATCTGTAACATAAATGTAATCTTTGAAAATATAATTCAAAATTTTCCTAAATAATTTATCTAGATCCCAATACCTGGCTTTTGTTCACTTGTGAAATATCTGCAGTGTACAACACTTGGTCGAATTTCGGATACGAGTTTTCTTGATCAACAACGAAAGTCAATTTCGTGGAATTATCCTTCAGAGTTTTAGGGTCATCCTTCGTTCCAGAGTCCTGAAGAATGAAAATAATAAATCAGGTTTTGATACACGCTAAAAATTTAAATAACAAATCTTCATACCGTCGCCTTAAGTGTAAATGTAACAGTCTCGTTCAAATCGAACGATTTCAACGCGGTAAAATCGAACAAATGGCGTTTGTGAATAACATCACTCGGGTCTTTGCCGGCCCATTTGAGGCTCAAACTCTCAAGTATTTCCTTGTTATCACTATCCAAAGCGAGGCTTATGTTATCATTCGTCAAATCTGCGTCTCGAACTATGATTTTGCCGTAATTGGAAAAATCGAATCCCGCGGGAATTGGCATAGGAAGCTTGAACGTGTATTCCTTTTCCGAATCCGGCAGAACAAACTGAGGTGGATGATTATTTGAATCTACAATATTCAGCTCAATTTCCTGAAATAAATTTTATCCTCGTCATTATCTTGAAATGTATATAATAAATAAGTCGTTAGATTGCAATTTACTCACAATTTTTTTCGTGGCTTCTTCTTTTTCGGATTTACATGTAATAGTTGCGTTTATATAAACAACTGATTTATCCTTAAAACGCAATAAAACATTTTTTAGAACCATACTTTTAAATTACAACTATAGTATAACTTGTTACTCACCTCTTGTTCCTCGTATTTTTCATAAAATCCAGATTCTAAGGTTATCTTATTTTCTCTGGCGCCGAAGTAAGTGTTCTTACCTTTTATTCCTTGAGTGTCTGTTATATCGATAACACCAGTTTGAGTACTTACTAAGTTTATAAGTACTAAAGTAATTGGTGAAGTCCCGGCATGGTCCTCTTTGGAGATTTTGATCGAACCGCTTGTCCATTCTTCTTGGTTTATATTATCGTAATTAGCTAGCTGACACTCAAATGCGGCTTTGTGAACATGAAAATAAAGTGTGAGTCATTTTTTGCATCGTACTATCCGCGCAAACCGAAGCGAATTATATATTTTGTTGTAACTGAATAATCATTTCTATCAATCTCACCGGCGTACAATCCTCGCCCTTCAAGGAACGCACTTAAAACTAGCAGCACTGTAAATTTGGCTAAAATCGACATGATATATAAATTTTCTAGTAGCTCTTGAACGCAAAATTTCAAGAGTACTTTGCAAGTCAAAACCCAATAACCAACTGAAACGAACAATGAAATCCAGTTTATAAAAGCATTAATCTGCTGAATGATACGCTGTACTGATAACCATCAAGTATTTTATCGCAAATGCGTATATATGTACGTGTATGTATATATTTTTTACGTGTGTGTATATGTATATACGTAGCCAAACAGAGTGTATACCTACACGTAGTCGCGTACTTGAAAAATAGATCGTAAATTGGAATATCTGAACCGTAGATATGCGGTGACTAAAAAAGAAAAAAAACGACAATATACGCAAATCACAAAAAAAAAGAAAAGATTTTTTAACGGTAATCCGAGCGACGAAAAATCTTTCGTAAGAACTAAACTTTTGTTCTAACCGTCGTAACAATACAACGATCGAGCGGCTAGATATATGTAAACTTACGTGTCAGCTATGACTAAACATTCCATTTGCACAGTAACATTAAAAAGAGATTATTTGTATACGAATGTTATTATGAAAAGTTAAAATTTATTGAACACTTTCGTTGCTACATTAAAATTATATTCGTCTCGAGAATCGAAATTTACAGCTGGTCATTTAATTCATTGGATCGAGTCGCATTAATTTCTTAAAATCACCTAACGACAAATTTATAATCACTCGTTGTTAACATTAGATAGGGCCACTTTTGTATCTTCTTTTCAAATTTTTTTGACTGATTGCCGTGTCGATGTCTTGAACCTTTTGCAGGAGCAGGTATCGTTTGGCCTTTAAAATTCGCATTTTCTCCGCGTGCTCCTCTTTGCCGCACTTCAACAGCTCTTGATAATAAAGAATTTTATTTTCGCTCTCCTTCCTTTTCAGCTCGAGCTCCTCGAGCGATTGATTAGATAAGATATCTAAGTACTCTTGATTGAAGTCTTCGTATTTCAGTGGCCGTTTTTTCGAATTTTCCACGCTTTTTGACGACTCGCCGCCGTTCGTAACGGGCACGTACGAGTCGATTTGGTTTTCCGGTAACCTATAAAACGTAACGTATCGCTTCGTAATGTTGAATCGAACTGGCGCGATTTATATACGAAATATAAAGTTAGAAAAAAAATACAAACATGAGTAACAGCTCATCGTGACACTCGAGAATTCCATTTTCGATCTGCCATTCCTCCTAGAACAGAAACGAATATCCCCGCAGCGTTAGTAAATTTATAGACTAAATTCGATCGACCCGTCGCTGCTGCGCCCCCGCGTTCCGAAACGAAAATCGTAACTCTTTTTTTCCACGCAACGTCCGAGAGACAATCTGGCAATAAATAATTTCGTCAAACGCGTTGTATACTACAACACTCACCATAATTTGATAAGTCTGCTCGCACAGCTCGCCCTCGTTGAGATTTCTCGGCTCATTGTCCGTCAATACAGTACCGAAATCGAACGTATCGTTGACCTCCAGCGAGTCCTCGATCTTCCAGTGTCGATAGGCGTCGCGAATCTCCATCCAGTCGCGCTTCATCTCGTCGCCGAGGCTCATCCACTTGTCCTCCGCACCGCCCTCGTCGTCCGCATCCTGCAACTTGTGCTTCAACGCGTACAGCAGGACGCGTCGCTTCTCCTCGTTGGAAAATAATGGCGTTGACGTAATGGTGAAGGTCGACTGCATTTTCTCAACGATAAATAAACAAACGCGCGAGGTGATAAAACTCGAAAAAGCCGTGCACGACTGTTACGTGGACTAGGGCCGAACGAACACTGCTCGTCCGAAGGGTTCAACGATACTGTGCACACGAACTGTGCTCGAGCTCGGCGATTGGCTGGCGAATTTGTTCATCGTCAAATGCAACGACTTTTTCGAACGCATTTTTGAACTATCAACTAATGAGAAGCAACGGACCAAGTAGAATTTTTGGCGGGCCTCGAGACTTTTCGAACGCTCGTTCGAAACGGTTGCTCCATTTTGTAAATATATAACTCAATGCATTTCAAAACGTTTCGAGCAAGTACATTTCAGACTAGCTGGTAAATGAATTAGTCAAAAGGACAAAGAAAAATATCAATAATCCAATCGACTGCACGAGGATTATGCATCGCGATCGTGTTAATGATTCGTCGTAGAGTTTCGGGGTGAAGTGGAGCTCCAGAGCTGCTGCCTCGCTGCGCCGCGCACTGTTTTCACGCCGACAGCTCGCAGCATAATAATAATAACAACACACTGTATATATCGCACTGCGTCGTGCGCGGGCTGCTAAATGCCGCCGTGCTCTATGTGTGCTGTGTCAGTTGACGCTTGATAGCAGTCGCTTGACAGCTCGACCTAAACATTTCTTTGATTCGTCGTCGTTGTTGTTGTTGTCGTCGTCGTGACTGTGTACACATATACAAATCAGCATTGGCGAGCATGACAACAACATCGTGTAATCCAAAGCCTCGAAGCGGTGTAGGCAGGCGACTGTGGATGCTAATAAAATGATGCATCATCGTCCAGCGAAAAGAAGAGGAGGAGAGATCAAAATGTAATCTACCTCGCTTTGAAATACTGCTGCCGAATCGTTAACTCTGCGAGCTGCCTATACATGCCAATTGTGGGAAAGTAACGCCGATGTCGTCGTCGTCTGTTTCGCCTTAATTTTTATGAAAGTGCATCGGTATGTAGATGCGAATGACGAGCTCTAGGCTCTCTCTCTCCTTCCCTCCCATACTTTTTCCCGTTTGACCGTTAGCGGAGAGGTGCGTGTATAAACACAGATGTAACATCTGCGGATTGTCGAAGCAAAACCAAAAGTACATACATATACGTGCGGACGACAGTTCCAAAGCGTTCGCAGGCACATAAAACGAGTGGACAAAACGCGAAAACAAATTCAGCGAGGATCGAAAGAGTTATAAGTGCTGCGAACTTTCTACAATCACATCTGCTACGAGTTTCGTTCAAGGTTATCATTTGAACCAATCCATGGGACATGTGGTGTCATTGATCACCTGTGATTATTTCATTTGAAAAATTTTGCATCGTACATTGTTTCATTGGATTGATTGAGTTTCTTTTCTTCGTTTGCAACTTCTAGTGCACTCGACCAAGTAGCTTCCTTGTCGTCATAGTAGGTACCAAATTTATTTACTTTGCATTAAATTGATTGTGCATTTGTAATTTATTTTTTTTTAAATTTAAAGGTATCCTGTCTTAGCTGATTGCTAATACAACAATTGCCAAAAATGCATTTCTCCGTCCCAGATACACAAGAGCTCGTTGATGAATCTGGAAGTCCATATATGGTAAGTTTTGTAGAATCGAATATCTTGGTATAGGTCTGGTTGAGTAGATATTTACAGTATTAATATATATTTACAGGGTTATAATGTGCACATTAATGGACTGTTTCACTGTACTGTTAGATATAAACAACTCTACAATTTACATGAACAATTAATGAAAGAACTAGATCTTAGTAAATTGGAGCTGCCGTACTTTCCACCAAAAAAATTGTTTCCTTTGACTTACAATCAACAAGAAGAACGAAAATTAGCCCTTGACAGATATATTCAATCCATTGGACAAAATACTAGTATTAATAATTCTGAACTATTGAATGGTTTTTTATTAAGTGCTCAATTGGAGAGCGCTAAAGATTCAATTACATTTGTAAACATTGATGTTTTCTTGATGAATGGATCCAAAATTAATTTAGAAGTTTGTACGGCAGACAATTCTAGTCAAGTATTAAAAGTAAGTTAATAAATACTTAGATTAGTAAATTAAAATTGTAATAACTATTAATTTTCTTACTTTTTATTTTAGAAAGTGTGTCATAAGATAAATTTGAATGAAAAATATTGCTCCTACTTCTCTTTATTTTTAATATATCAAAATGATGAAACTTTTATTGGTAAGTTCAGTATAAGGTACTATCAGTTATCTTTTCATTACATATGAAACAATATTATAAAATAATTTTCATTGTTAATAGTACTTAGAAAACTGCAAGATTTTGAATCACCTTTTATCACTCAAAAAAATATTAACAAAATTGGTACAAGAATTGTTCTTGGAAAATGGTACTGGGATATTGGATATGATTTAGAACTTTTAGAAGACCCAGTTGCTCGACATTTACTATATCTTCAAGCATCTGCTGAAGAAGAAAGAGGATGCATTCCTACAACAGAAAAAATCAAACTTCAATTAATATCTTTGAAAGATTCTGATAACGAGGAAGAGGTATGATTTACATTTGAAACAAACTTATGAATGAAAATTTTTTTAATTTTGAACTTATTTTATTAAATTACTCTAGTATTTGAAAATAATTAGATCATTAAAGTATTATGGATATCTTCATTTTGCGCCATGTATCTGTGATTATCCTAAGCCTCAATCAAAAGTGCTGGTCTCTATTGGGAAAAATGAATTGAATTTACGAGTAATAACTGCAGAAAATAATTATGAAGAATTTGGCTTCAAAGTGACTAGAATGAGATGTTGGCGAATAACAACTCTTCAAGAGGTAAAGCTCATGTCTGTCATCTTGAAAGTTTTTTGACAATTAAAAGTATAAAATTTACTTGTGATTATTTTCAGGGTTCAGAGAAATATGAAGATATGCTTGATAGCAAACTTGAACTATCATTTGAATATTTAATTGCAAAAGATAAACTACAATGGATTACTATTACATCTGATCAAGCTATTCTTTTGTCAGTTTGTTTACAATCAATGATTGATGAACTTCTTTTAAAAACTGTTGGAGGAATCAAAACTCAAGATGTAGCAAAAAAGACATGGACTTATGTTACTAGAGAGGGCCATACAAGAAATGTCATTGGTTCTCTTACAGCAAATTTTTTTGATAAAAATTATAAGGTAATAACAAAATTTCAGTATTTGCCATGTTAAATACAAATTTTATGGCTTCTCATGATAAATCTATTTATTATAGGAAAATGATTCTAATAATAGTCCCAAATCCGAGCCAATTATTAAAAAATTAGCTGAACGGTTTTCTATTGTAAAAGTGAAGAAAAGTAATTCTGTAACAACAACACCAATGCCAAGTCCAGAAAGAAGGTATCAACCACCTGGAGATTCTCTAGAAAATAACGCATTTGGAATGATTGGCGATGATGATTTGTAGGATAATTCTTGCATCGCAATTCTTTTAATAATTTTAGTAATGTACAGCTCGTTAAGGAACAGTCATTTAAATTTTGCTTCGATAATTTTGAAGCATGAATGAATTTTTTTAATCGATTTCCATTCACTCGAATAGAATTGAATGAATTAAGACTCAGAGTATTGGGGAATCGTGTTTTCAGTATATAAATATAAAATGCGCGTCGTTTTCGATTTTCCATATAGTTTTACGCCATTTTTTGTCTTTTTTGAATCAATGTATTGTAAACACGATTTCTGAATATTTTACGGAAATATATTTTTGTACAAAAAAAACAGTAAAACTAACGTTGAAGATGTTTATAAATTAATAATCGTAAACTCAAGATGTAAATGTATTAACTGTTGTTAATTAATAAAGTTACTGCAGTAACTGCATTTATATGAAAATGCCTAACAAGAATGATGTAATTAACTAGATTAATATTTTTACAAAATTTATTAAAGTAGAACTTGTTGATAACATAGTTCTATATTTTTAATAGATATTCGTTAATACTCGAAAATTATATTATATTTATATCAGATGATTTTGAATCAATCTATCTACGAATAAAAAATATTTATGATAAATGAAACTGAATCGATGAATCAACTGTTTGATCACACATTTCCGAGAAATGTTGATGGTTTAGTTATAAAAAAAACCTTATGAGATTATAGCCGATAATAAATTTTTAATTTTCATCTAGACATTGAAAGATATTCTTTATGAGCCTCCACTACCAAAAATATCTATATTTTAGAATTTATTTGGATTCATAAACATGTCGTTTCCACCGCAAAACTAGATCATATTTCAGGGTACTCTTCTTGGCTTAGAATAACCCATTTGTCAAAAAAAGTGTAGACAAATAATTGAATACTTGGTTATCATTGTACTGTACATATGGTGCCGTAATGTTAATAAGCTCATATTGACCTAAACTAGACTACTCGTGGGATAATTCCTTGCAACATATTCTACTAATCACAATGCAAATAACGTACTATTATGGAAAATCGATTTCACTATCATTTTTTCTTCGTCGCAGCGGTACATTGTTATTTTCGCTTTTTTTCACACTTTTGAAGTCGGTATATCATCCGGTCGAAAGATCATGAAGTTGAATCGGATTTATGGCTTATGCTTGTTTCTAAGCATGCTTGTGAATTCCTATTTTCAGTACTCCCTACCGGTAGAGTCAGCGATCACCCAGATTTCCGCACGACAGGTTTCATTTTTGAACCGTGGCGATCGTCAAAAGCACCAGAGGAGCATTAAATCGTTAAGCAGTGTAGAAAATTGGATATACTCGCGTTTCGCGAGTCGACTGCCCTGCGCCTGGATCAACATTGACAAGGATGCTGTGCCGGAATGGTTTCAAAATTCTAACAGCCTCTTTGTCTACGTTGGGGTGAAGGACGACGTCGACGCAAACTTCGTGAAAAATCTCAAGGCCTTAACGATTAATTTCTCAGCACCGATTCGAGTTTTGTTGATAATGTTAAATCGTAAAAACGATTCCTCGACGAAATACCTGGATTTATTGGAGCAATTTTGGGAAGAGCAATTAGTCGACGTTACGATTATCAATATCTCATCGATAGTCTCCGAGCAAAGCCGTAAAATCACTCAACGTAAGATGGCATCCGCCGCGACGATACATCATTACAATCCATTCACTCGTGCTTATGCGAATCAAGTACTCAACTCATCGAGTAAATTATTTCCCGCGAAGCTCGACGATCTTCACGGCCACGAGCTGCGCGTGGGATTTAAAATCGATTATCCCTATTCTTGGTTGGAACAAAATAGTAAAGAATTCAAGGGTTTCGGTGGCTACATGCTCAAGATAATCCGGCACAAGTTGAATTTCAGATCCAAACTGATACAGCGTCAGTTATTGCCCGACGGATCGGCCTCGGAAGGGACGTTGCAGTTCATCTTGAATCATCATCTGGATTTCTATGCAACTGGAGCTTACATATATTATGATAAGGACCCTTATCCGGTACGATGAAAATTGATATGTTTTATTTTCTCACAAAACCGTCCTCACGTATGTAACCGATCTGGATAAATTTTTGGTACATTATAGTACGTAGTAAAAAAGTCCCAAAACCAAAATTTTAGACCCCTAGATTGCTCCTACCCTCCAAACTCCGTATACTGATAGAAATTTACGAACTCCGTCATGAAATCCGCTGTGGTTGGCTCAAGAATTATAGGATTTCAAAATCAAGAATTCTTTTTTTCTTGCCGCATGACGGAAAATTACTTGTCCCAGGTAAAATGTAGTCTTGGTTCATGAAATCCTATAATTCTTGAGCCAACCACAGCAGATTTCATGACGGAGTTCGTAAATTTCTATCAGTGTATGAATATCTATTTTCTATCGATACCGATTCTGATGCTATTTTGGATTTTTATATTTGTATTATGTACTATTACTCCATAATATACCAAAAGGGGGTCCGGATCGGTGACGTGTGCTCAGTTTTATGAAAAAGAGTATTTTTTTTTACCCATTTAGAAAATCGGTCACAAATTGATGAGTCATATGATTAAAATTTATACGCAGACATTCATAACAGCAATAATTGGATTGGAACACTTTTGCGGCATGGTACCGCTCTTGACAAAACCAATTTTTCAACTGAACAGTGGCATCCAATGGTCACTGCTTGTGATTCTCGGCCTCGTCGCCGTAGTTTGGTTTTCGTCTTTTCTGCTGCTATCCAAATACTGGCGACCACTGGACATAGGCCTGATGATGATAGGCTCGACAATAACGGCCCGAGCCGTGACATTGCGCGAACGGCTGCTCTTCGGCTGCGTCCTGATGGTGGCCTCGTTCTACTCGTCGACGATTCTCGCCCACCTGACCAATCTGAAGCTCGAAAAGGAGACCTACATGAAGTTCGAGACGTATCGCGAGCTGGACGAGTCAGGCCTCATACCGATGATAGATTCCATAATTATGAAAGATAATTTAAGATACAGCGACGACCCGACGCTACGCAGGTGACTAAAGGGTATCCTCCGAGGGAAAATCCTGGAATTCTCGCTGAGTAAGCGTAAAATAAAGTTAAAACGGCCCTATAGTCGTTTGCGTAGTTTTCAACGAGAAATCTATTGGTGACCTTTTATTTTGACATCAATTTTTAAAGTAATCCGTTCAATATACTTACAGATTAGGCGAGAAAGCAATCGGGCACACGAACAAGACAATGTGCTTGAATTGGCTGCTCACCAACGGCAACGTCAGCTGCGTCGTGGAGCAGTACAAAATTTTATTGTTCATGTTGCGCCACAGCGGCCGGATTACACAGGCTGAGCCCTGTTTCTGGTCGAGTTATCGGGCCTTAATAATGCAGCCGGGTTCGCCTTACACGCCGAGCTTCGATCGAATAATTCGCCTCGCTCACGAGTCGGGAATCGTCCAGAGGTGGTGGCATCATTACCACAAGGAGCTCGACCAGTATCGTTATGAGAACAGCGATGATATGTCTTCGGGGCTCAACGAGAAGAATTTTCTGAGGAACAACTCGTACAGGAACGTCTTTTTTTTGCTTCTCGCGGGTTATCTAGTGTCGTTCGTGGTTTTTTTCGCGGAACTGACCATGAAACATTTCTACGAGAAGCTGCAACGCCGATGGCGGTGGTTACTGTGACAAATAGCAATTTCAATCAAATAATTTTATAAATTACCCAGAAAATCGTGATTTTTGTTTTCTACTTGATTGACAGGTTTTTTCATCATTATGGAAAAAAAATGTGCATATTACTAACATATTTGGCAAGGAATCTTATTGCCAATGAATTGGCTGGTGAGCTAAAAAACATATTAGATAAGAAATTATCCTTTAAAGTAAACGATTCTTTTTTTGAACGAAAAAATTTACAAAGTCAAATTCTCGTTCATTGAAAACATTTTGTTTCTTATTGATACATTATTCATTGGTTGTTCAAGTACTGGAAGTGAAATTTGATTACAGTTCTGAGCTTAAGCTTGCTTGTGTCCTTCAATAATCTCATTATCAACTTCTCAATTTTTAATCAAATCTATCAGTCCGTTACCCTGATAAATGCACATGAATAGTATTAAAAATTATTATTATTTTACAATGTTTTCAATTGTAAAAAAAAAATATAGACAAATAATTGAATACTTGGTTATCATTGTATTATACTTATAGTGTCGTAATGCTAATAAGCTCATATGGTAAGGTATCATTCGTACGCATAAAACTTGTACATGGGCATTTCTGTACACAAGCAAAATGTGTCCAATATAAGTGCACATAATCGAACTTTTTTTTTTAATTCAAAAAATTTTAAAAAATAGTCGTAATCGTAATTTTTTGAATTTAAAAAAAAAGTTCGATTATGTGCACTAATATTGGAAACATTTTACTTGTGTACAGAAACGCCCGTGTACAAGTTTCATGTGTACGAATGATACCTTGCCGCTCATATTTACCTACTCCTGGGATAATTCCTTGCTACACATTCTACTAATCACAGTGCAAATAACGTACTTTTATGGCAAATCGATTCAACCATCATTTTTTCTTCGTCGCAGCGGCACATTCTTATTTTCGCTTTTTTTTCACACTTTTCAAGTCGGTATGTCGTCCAGTCGCAAGATCACGAAGTTGAATCGGATTTATTGCTTTTGCTCGCTCATACTCATTTTTGTGAATTCGTATCATATTTACTCCTTACCGATAGAGCCGCTGATCGGTCAGATTTCCGTTCGACAGATTTTATTTTTGAATCGCGGCGATCGTCAAAAGCACCAGAGTAACTGCGGATCATTAGAAAAAATAATGAATTGGATATTCTCGCGCTTCGCGAGTCGACTGCCCTGCGCCTGGATCGACATTGACACGGATGTTATACCGATATTATTGCAAAAATCTACAAGCCTCTTTGTCTACGTTAGGGTGAAGGAGGACAACGACGCAAACTTCGTGGAAAAGAGGCCTATACACGAGATTCACGAACTAGATGAGTCGGGCCTCATACCGTTAGTACATCGCAAATGGCCCAACGACACTTTCGAATACAGCGACAACCCGAGACTACGCAAGTGCTTAAAGAGTATCCCCCGAGGAAAAACCCTGGAAATCTCGCTGAGTGTAAACATAAAAAAAATTAAAAACCCTCCTACAGTATCTTGCATACTTTTCAACGAGAGATCTAGTGGTGACCTTGTTTTTCGACATAACTTTTTTGAGTTATCGATAATGTACTTGCAGATTGGGCGAAAAAGCAGTTCAGTCAGAAGATATGATGGAGTGCGTCTATTGGCTGCTCACCCACGGCAACGTCAGCTGCATCCTCGAACATTTTGAGATTTTGATAGTGATGGATCTCATTGGCGGTCCGATGACACAGGCTGAGCCCTGTTTCTGGTCGAGTTAACGGGTCTTAGTAATGCGCCCGGGCTTTGATCGAATAATCTGTCGCTCAGGCGGCGGGACTCGTCAACTAGTGGTGGAAGGATTACTACGAGAATTTTGGCCAGAATAATCGTTACAAGAACCGCGAATCGGGGCTCATCGAGAAAAATTTTCTGAGGGATAACTCGTACAGAAGCGGCTTTTTCTGCTTCTTGTGGGCTATACCTGCTGTTTTTGGTAGTGTTTTTCACGGAATTGATTATCACGATACGATACGATATCGATAATCTAAAAAATATCGG